TTAAGAATTTTGGGGCCAGGTGTAGTGGTTCACACTTGTAATCCCGGCACTTTGGGAGGCTGAGACAGGAGGATCACTTGAGGTCAGGTGTTGGAGACCAGCCTGGCCAACATGGTGAAACCCCAAATCTACTAAAAATACAAAAATTAGCTGGACGTGATGGTGCACACCTGCAATCCCAGCTACTCAGGAGGCTGAAGCACGATAATCACTTGAACCTGGGAGGCAGAGGTTGCAGTGAGCCGACATCATGCCCCTGGGCAACAGAGCAAGACTGTCTAAAAAAAAAAAAAAGAAGGCTGGGCGCAGGGGGCTCATGCCTATAATCCCAGCACTTTGGGAGGCCGAGGCCAGAGGATCATGAGAAGAGATCGAGACCATCCTGGCTAACATGGTGAAACCCCGTCTCTACTAAAAATACAAAAATATTAGCCAGGCCTCGTGGCGGGCGCCTGTAGTCCCAGCTATTCGGAACGCTGAGGCAGAATGGCATGAACCTGGGAGGCGGAGCTTGTGAGATTGTGCCACTGCACTCCAGCCTGGGCGACGGAGTGAGACTCTGTCTCAAAAAAAAAAAAAAAAAAAAGGTTATGAAGATTTTGTTTGTTTTTTGGGTGGCACTTTCTGTAACATCAAGAGAGGGAGTTTCTCTTCTGTTCCCATGAGAGGATAAGACTGGAGTATTTGAATAATTCTGCAGGCTGACATGGTAATGAAATCCACTAAACTATGGAGGATAAAACTCATACTATAATTTCATGCTATATACTATAATACTATTTTTATGTGGCAGTTATATATAATGTGCAAGTTATATAACTAAATCATATATACATACATTGCAAGTATATGTATATACAGGTATATATACACATATACACACCATACGCTACACAAGATGTCAGGCTGTACCATAATACTGTACATGAATATCTTCCTTAAATTTTGAAATAAGCCTCAGCAACATATTTGCAAAAAAAATTCAGCAATTTGTGACAGTATCTAAACCTCATGATCAAGTGGAATTTAATCCAGGAAAGCAATATTGCTTTTATCTCCGAAAATCAATTCATTCAATATACCATAATAGAATCAACATGAAAAATCAGTGTCCTTGTAGATGCAGAAAAAGTCTGTGACAAACCTCAACATCTCATGATTAAAAACAATAAACTAGAAATACAAAAGAATATTCTGGCTGTGTACGGTGGCTCACACCTGTAATCCTAGCACTTTGGGAGGCCAAGGCAGGTGGATCACCTGATGTCGGGAGTTCAAGACCAGCCTGACCAACATGAAGAAACCCTGTCTCTACTAAAAATATAAGATACCAATACACACACACTGCATCTGTTTCAACCACAGGATGATAAAGTACAATGTTATAGCTATGCGCATATTTATAATATTGGAACTGGAAATGGCGTTAATGTTGGAAATTTAGGAGAGAAACTGGAATATTTAGGAATTTTTACTGCAAAGTCCTTGAAGAGTTAGCTTGTATAATGATTAAAATTCAACAGTCCGAAACCGAAAGTTACTTTTGCACACTAATATTCTTAAGGACGTGTACATCCCCTGGCTGTCTTGCCTTGCCATCATGAGTAAGACAGCTTCGAGCTCACACCAGATAGAATCCATGCCATGCTCCTTGTACAGCTCTCGTGGGTAATCCATGAGCCTAACCTTCTTTTTCTTTCATTAGCCTTAGGTTTTTCATAGAATCATAAACCAACAACGCAGCCCTTTTGTACACCTGTATATGCAGGGACAAAATCTATGTATTTGTCCCAGGGTGTTGAGTAACAATGTCCTATAAATCGGAAGGCTTGTGTTTTTCTGGCTGTTGGCTCAGGTTGTACCCTTTATTCTGAGTTGAACAGAAGGTGCAGTCTCAACCGTGTCTTGTGGGATTTGGCGAAAAGCCGTCTTTTAATTATCAAGAATGAAGGGTTATTTTGCATTCTTCGTACACTTTCTACTATACGGTTTTTCTTTGTTCTTAGCTGCACTCTTGTCATCAGAATATTATTATATATTATCTATTATATTTTGGAGATGGGAATTTCTCTCGTTGTTGCCCAGGCTGGAGTACAATGGCGACAATCTTTTGGTTGACCGCAACCCTCCGCCCTCCCCGGGGTCAAGCGATTGTCTGCCTCAGCACTCCCGAGTGGCCTTGGATTACATGCGTGCGCCAACCATGCCCGGCTAATTTTG